AGTGTCAGTCAACGCGTAAGCCTTCTTATTCATAATGAACAACTTTTTCAATGGACTGCCCCTCCTTGATGTGCTAATCAGTCACACGAGCACCTCCAGTCAAAGACCTATTACTATTACACCCAGGTGGATTACAGCGCATCACAGAAAGTCTTTCTTGTCCGGGCCAATCAGACTCTTCAACTCCACCCACTCATTATTATTACATCTACTGGACAATTTCTCAAAACTCTGATTCATCTGATCAATATGCATGTATTAGTTAGATGTACTGTGCAATGTATTGAAAACGTATTCAATATTAGTATTCAAATTTAGTGTTATCTTAAAAACATAAATTAATTTATGAAATATATATTTAAAATATTTAAGAAATATATATATATATATTATGTATATTTTGCACTTATTCATCAGATTGATAGCTTTCATATGATCTTTGCCTCCCAGCGTTTGCACCAGTGAACAGCTGCATATGTGGCGTGGAAATATCTGGCCACATATTTCCTTTTTTGTGGCCCACAGTCTCTCTCTCATCGTAGTCATTTCAGTCCATTTTTATACATGCTCACACACTTTAAGAAGAGTTAATCCGCTCATGTAACGCAAAAGAAACAATACAGACGCTGCTCAGAATGTGAGCGCACGCGGGCCTGTGCACCACGGCAGCATTGTACCAGAAATTCCTTCGTTCTGGACCAGTTTCTGCTTGTTTGATTACAATCATTCCTTCGCTCTTGGCAGCGACTTTGTGGATGAGAGCAGTCAGTCTGTTGTGTGTGCATGTGTGTGTGTGTGGATTGAGGCCTTTCTTAATCTGTCATGAGTCATGAGTGGACGTGGGATTATTTGTGTGCAGTCTTTCCTTCTAGTCAGCTGTTGGGTGTTCATTATATTTCCTGCCTAATTAACATCATGCTGTGTTGTTGACTCTCTGATATTATATGACAGTGAGTCAGTCTATTTCTGCCAAGGATAATTGAGCATTTTTGTCCCCAGGGCCACGTTTCTCAGGATACTTTGTCCCGGTTTTATGGTTGTATGCAGCATTTTGTTTTTCTGAATGGAGACCACACCTCCTCTACTCCATTATAACAGAAAATGTGTATGAGAAGTGTTGGTGTGGGTGAAGTGGTCCAACCCGAGCAGGGACGTTGGATGCTTTACGTAAATAGCGTAGCTTGTGTTGTTGGCCTTTTCCCCCCTGCTGTTCATGCACAGTGGTAATTCACGCTGCTGTTTGTCATGAATACTGGTAACTTGACTGTATTTGTGTTTCTTGTGTAAAGTAATCATGAATCTTTTCTTAGGAAGCTTAAGGCCTCACCTTATGGTTGGTCAGAGACCATTTAAACTTCATATCCTGCCTGGCTCTGACCTTTGACGTTTCATTGGTCGAGGTGTTTACTACAGGCTCGTTAAAAAGGGATCTACATTCAAGGTGCACTAAAACCATGAGATGAGAATCGTGAGGGCGGATTGTTCTGAGTAATGTTTAACATTACGGGCTACATTCTGTCTAACTTCACTGCAGGAAAGGGTGTCACATTTTGTCAAAATATGAATTGAAATGACCTCCAAACACACGCAGTAGGAGTCGTCTTTAAAAAAGATTAAAAATTAACTCAGTTTTTTAAAGCTGTTGTCATATTAACTGAAATGCAATGGAGACTGATGAGTATGAGATATCTCTCTGTAAAGCAGTTTTTGTTTTGTTTTTGTAAATTAAGCCTGACTTCGTCCTGCAGAAATAGTCTGTAGAGTTCCCCGATAACAAATGTCACCATTAAACAAACACATGCCACTGATACCAAGGCTCCCTGCTCCACTGACCACGACAGTGTATGTGCCTTAAACACTGCACAGCGAGCAGCCTTTGATCGGCCCAGCAGTCACTGCTTTAAACTAAATACCACTCCAGGAGATGGAAAGCAGAACACTGAGTCCGAGAGGTAAATCTGGTTTGTGTAGAGAGGCAATAAAACAGGGAGGACCAGAACTGTGAGTAGTTTTATGTCAGACAAAAGACACTTTTCACAGTTCACAAACAAACACAATGGCTGATGGTATTTTGTAATCAGTGTCAAATCCCCACTGACAGGGAAATTCTACCAGATTGTTTTGGTTCTGCAGCTGAAAATAATAAGAATCACAGCACAACGATGCAGAGGTTCAGTTTCAAATTATGGAGTGCGAAATATTTAGATTTGGTCTGAATAGCAATTACTATAACTGCAACACCAAATCAACATTTTTTATAAACAAAGATTGCAAAATGTACAATGTACAATACTACACCAGCGACCGTTTGGCACCAAGCCACAGAGAGGAAAGTAAACAGCGTTTGCATTGTATTTAATACAGGGGTGTGTACTGGCAAGAACCTGGCGATGTGACACGTATCACGATACAGGGCAGCAATACAATATATTGCGATATACTGGAATACTACAAGCATGACAATATATTGAGGGTTTTTTTTTTGATTGTAGGAAAACTGGAACAGAGGGATCTACATTTGTATAAACAAAAACTAAGATTGACTCAAAGTCTCAAATACTTGTATAAATATATATATATAATATGCATAAATAAATAAATATATGCAGTCCCTGAGCAAATAAATATAACTTTTTCTGCAATATCAACTGTCATTAGCTTGCATAAAGAAAAATGGTTTAAACGCAACACCAAAATGGACCAACTCCATAAATATGAATATTAGCATGTTAATGGTTGATTTAAAAAAAAAAATCGATGCAGTGCTGTAGAATATCTATACGGTACTGTGAAACAAAATATTGCGATTTTTCCGTGTATTTAAATTTTCTTACTTCTAATTAAATATCAGTGATTTATTTCAAAAGAAATGCTCACATTCACAAAAACCCCAATTTCTTTTTCTTTTTTGTTTGTTTTGCATCAACAGGATTTGAAAAGGTTGATCTCAACCATGTTTGCATTGTTAAATATTAACCTGTTATAGTATTATCTTATGTTTAAGTGTGGTCATGTGCCGTGCTGAAGGCACTAGATGTTTTTATTTTACAATGACAGTATGGAGAGAGAGAGACAGAGAGAAAGAGAGAGAGAGAGAGAGAAAGTGTTTTCTCCACTGGGTAAACTTTAGCCAGACTTGGGAACATGTTGCTTTATGAGTTTTATGGCAGAATGACACTAAGACAACCCACTGTATACTGTAGTTCACTGGGAAGTCTTTTTCACCTTGGCCTGAAGACATTTAGACAGCAGGGTGTGGAGTGTCCTTGTCTGTGACCCTTCATTTATCGCAATTTATCCTACAGCTCTGCTTCAGTAATTCTAAAACTGGAATTAATTCAGAAGAAATAAGCTCATGTGTTTCATTAATTAAAGTCTGCCTTTAATCTGTATATTTGACTCTACGTCAACAAATACCTGACTCCTGATCCTTCTTGAATCACAACTGCACAACCGGCCTCGTGGATTTAGAACCTGTCTTTTTCTAGGTGGAGCTCAACATTTTTTCTCCTCCGTTTTCTGGTCCTTACTTTCAAGAAAACTCATCAGTCCAGGTGTAGATTTGACAGGGTGACAAGTTCACACGAATCTTTTCTTGTGTGACGTTTTACAGCAGCTGCACCGACACGGCACAGTGTTGTAAATGATTTATTAGGGCAATATTTAAATGGCAACATTTTTCAGTGATAAAAGGTTGGAGAGCCGACATGTTTGTCTGTGTATACGGTATGAAAAGAATCACAGATTTAAGCAACAACTTAGGCCTGTTCACACTCATACCAGAGTGAGGGTGAGTCACAGGTCAGCGCAATTTTCCCGAGTAACAATTGAACTGCCTTGTTTTCTTCAGAAATGCACAAACCAAATCCAAACAGCTTAACAATGGCTGAGAGAAAAAAATAAAAAATAAATTCTTCGTGTTTTGCGTGGGGATAATTTAAACCAGAACTCCGCTTTATCGCTACAAATCATCTCTCTGCTGTACTTTACGTCAATGCTTTTATTCATTGTGAAGCACGAACTGCAGGCCACGGTCACATGAGGTCATAATGTTCCCATAATGAGGACTGCATCGCAGAAGCACTGGGGATTTTCAGGAGCTCTCTGTGACCCGCTCTTTGTGCTGTCGTTTATCCATTCTGAGCTGTCAGTTTGCCAGAGCGATCAAACACATAACCACATGGTTTTATTGTCCGTTTCCTGTGGAAAAAACACTGCGGGGAGACAGAGACAATGAAGCATGGCACAGCCAGAACGGGACGAGACGCGAGGGGAGAACAAGTTCGTAAACCTACATCTACAGATAACGAAACCAGTCATAGTCCTGAACTGACAGATAACGAAACCAGTCATAGTCCTGAATTTAGCAGACCATTTAAGTGACTTATTTACATTTATGCATTTAGCAGACGATTTAAGTGACTTACAAGAGGAGGATGAACAATCAGGTTACATAGAGGAACTCTTGAAAGGAGACCAGTGCTTAGGAAACAGCAGAAGTGGAAACAAGTGTAGAAGGAGATAGTGGAGGGTAAGGGTAGAGGAGGACAGGCCCAAGTATGGCTCGAGAGTCCAAATCTACTTCATCTCTAGGTCTTATACAGTCCTCAAAGATGTTTTTAATGTAATTAGGCTTCACCTATTTTAAATTTCAAACAAACTTTGCATTATCGCCACCTACTGGGCTGGATTGTGTGCATCGGTGAGATGCTCAGAAAGGTGTGATCATTTTGATCAGCATGTTATTTTTTTTCTTTTTCTTTTGTAATTACCTTCTGCATTACTTCAATTACACACACGTCATAAACCTATTAACAGTCGAATGAATTGCCAAGAACGTGCTTTGATCAAATCAAAAGGCTAACACTTGTTGTAACTCTGTTTTAGATCATAATTGTTGGTTGAAACCACAAATCCTTATGTGATACCCTTGAAATAAATGATTGAGTGATCATGTTCAAAAATCTCATTCATTCCTAACATCGTGTTCTGTGTTGCAGATTTATCGCCAGCACCTGTGCCCGGAGTCTCCATCTTCAACCAGATGTGGTGAGAAAAGCTCAGCCCAATGCAGTTCTGGAGAAGGTTTTCACATCCATCACAAAGGTCTCACCTTCTTTTTCTCTCACTTAATCATAAACAATAACTCAGACGAGGCAGTGGCATGTTGGAATGAAAGACATTTCTAAAGTGACACTTTCAGTCTCCTGTGTTCCTTCTTCAGGAATGTTGCCTTTCTCTGAGGCAGTTATGATCTAATTATCTTATTAGCTGATTGGTGGAGCTCAGCTCGTCAACAGCAGAGCAATTCGTCAGGCGTCACCAGAGTCAGATTTCAGGGAGAGATTTACTGTAACAAGGAGCATGTGTAGATGGAAATGTTTTAACCGTAAATCGATTAAAGGAGTTGGTTTAGAGTCAGTTGATCTAGAAGAGGGGTCACTGATTATACTTGTATAAGGGCCTTGGGAGTCGAACACAAATAAAGTGGAATAAAAATCACATTTTTTTTCTAACATTATTATGTGTTGTCTATTTTGGAATCTAGTAGCGGGCTAGATTAGACAATAAGACGATATTCAGGATGCGTCAGTTGATCATCACTGCTGTTTAGAAAATACTAATCACAGCAGCTACTGTGACAGTTGTGACCTTTTGTAGTTAAAAATCTAAACTTGCTTCTCTGCTGAAGTTGTTTTCACTTTTGAAACAGCATGATGCTGCTGTTAAGCCATGCTCATCATATCAACGTGGCATCATTACTGTCCATAAACCTCTGAAAAAAACCCATGGTTCCATCCTCGTTCAGTTTCAGTGTTATGGCAGACAACAATACCCTCCTTTACTGGCAGCACCATCACAAAAATAAAGCCAGCGTCAGCAGTAACAGCCAACATTTTTATGGGCTATAAAAGACCCAGACGTTGATCTTTCCTAAACCGCCACCTGCGGGTTGAGGATATTTATTATTATTTCCAGTACATTAACAGTGACAAGTAGATTATTTCTGTGTGTCTGCTCCATTCTGAAGCACAGGCGGAAGTAATGAAGTAGTGGTGGGTCGCTGATGCTTAATGAACACAGCGGGAAAACCCTGCAGTGCAACAAATCCTGTGTGTGACTGACAGGTGTGTGCGTGCAGCTCTCACCAGCACTGATTACACGATAAGAGGAGCGAACAACAGCAGGGACACAAGCTGAAGAGCAGCTGGTTTTTTTTTTTTTTTGTTGTTGTTGTTTTTAAATAAATAAAAGTGTTATCAAAGCTGCTGCCGTCGTCACACCACTGATACTTTGACACACGCTGCTCCAAGTGCTCTACAGATGACGCCACGTGTCATTATTATTCTTTTTAGCCTGGTTCAAGGCGTGACTGATTAACAGTTGGAGCTCAGACGTGTGAGTAAACTATTGTCGCTCCTATAACAGTTACAGTCGGTTATACTGTCCTTTTGACAGCCGCCGTCCACTGTTTGTAAAAGCCGCGGGGTCAGACTGCAGTCACGATGTTTGCATAAGTTATTACGGAGAGTCAGGGGAAGGCTAAAGTTAGCATTTTCACAGAGTTCCCAGTACATACACAAAGCAAAAAAAAAAAAACAACCAATTGCGTCACGTGTTAAAAATGAGCAGAGCCAGGGCTGCGTCACTGTGTGTGTGTGTGTGTGTTGAGAGTCAAATTAATTTACTTTTTCACCGGAGCCTGTTAATCTGGTTGGCAAGACAAAGAAAGCTTGACAAAGAAGAGATTAAATAGATAATCACGTTTCGGTTTCTTTTTTTTTTTTTTCCGGTAGGGGATAGTATTTTGCTAATGT